TGCTCCCTGCTCTGTCTCTGGTGAATCCTCTCACCCTCCGCATCTCTGGCCTGTACCCCAGTTCTGTATGAATAAATACATAAATCTTTAAAAAAAAAAAAAGAAAAGAAAAGAAATAATGGGAGAAAGCACAAATAAATAGGATAATAAACAAAAGAAGAGAAATCTCAACAGACACAGCAGAAATCAAAAGACTATACAGATTACTATGATCTCTGTTTACTAACACAGAGATTGCTATAAAGTTATATGCAAACAAGACAACAATCTAGAAAAGCTAGACAAATTCCTACAACTTTACAATCATCCAAAGGTATATAAAGAAGAAATAGAACACCTAAACAGAACACCTATGCAGTGAAATTGATATAGTAATCAAAACTCTCCCCAAAACAAAATCCCAGGACCATATGGTTTTACAAATGAATTCTACCAAATGTGCATAAGCAAGCTAGTGCTTATCCTATGCAAACTTTTACCCAAAAAAAAATTGAGAAAGAATACATTTTATGAAGCCAACTACTTAACACTAATATCAAAAACAAAAAAGGACAACACACAAAAAAGAAAACTACAGTTAATCCCTCTAATGTACACTCAATGATTAAAACCTAGCCAACAGAATCCAACAATATATCAAAAAGATAATCCACCATGACCAACTGGGATTGATTCCAGGGGCACAAGGATGGTTCAACATTTGAAAATCAATTAACTAATCCAACACATCAACAAATAGATAGATAAAAACCATATGATCCTATCAATAGATGCCAAAAAAACATTTGACAAAGTCCAGCATCCATTTCTGATAAAGATTCTTGAAACTCTTGGAATAGAAGGAACATACCTTAACATAATAAAGGCCAGATACAACAAACCCATAGCCAATGTATTTCTCAATGGTGAAAAGCTGAAATCTTTCCCTTAAAGTCAGGAACATGACAAAGATGTCCAGTCTCACTCATCACTGCTTTTCAATATTATACTGGAAGTCCTAGCCAGAACATGAAGACAAGAAAAAGGCATACAAGGAATCCAAAGAGGGAACAAAGAAGTAAAAATATCACTATTTGCAGGTGATATACTGATAGAGAATCCCAAAAACTCCACTGGAAAAAAAATGTATCAAAATAATCAACCAGTTTAGTAAAGTAGCAGGATACAAAATCAAAACACAAAAATCAGTAGCCTTCCTATATACAATCAATCCAAAGAAGAAATCAAAAAACAAAAAACTGAAACAAAAAAATATCAAATACTTGGGAACAAAGCTAACAAAAGAGGTGAAGAACACTACAAAGAAAATTATAAAACATTGTTAAAAGAAATAGAAGACAGAGAAATGGAAGACATCCCTTATTCGTGGATTAGAAAAATCAACATTATAAAAATAGCCATCCTACCAAAAGCAATTTAAAGATTCAATGCATTCCCAATAAAAATTTCAATGACATTCTTCAAAAAAATAAAATAAATATTGATCGAATTCATATGGAGCCACAAAAACCTCAAAAATGGAGCCACAAAAACCTCAAATAGCTAAGGCTCTCCTGAATAACAAAGAAGAAAGTTATCATATGGACAGACTTCAAACTACATTGTAAAGCCATAATAATCAAAACTGCATGGTAGTGGAACAAGAACAGACATATAGACCAATGGAATTGAATAGAAAACCCAGGTATAAACCCACAGTTTTATGGACAGCTGGGCTGCTACGTGCAACAAAATAGAAGCTAGATTACTTCCACACACAACACAAAACCAACTCAAAGTGTATTTTAAAAACAAGACAGAAGACCTGAAGCCAAAAAATATAGAAGCAAATGTTGGCAAAACACTACATAATATACATAACATATTTAAAGCTATATCCCTAAAGCAAGGATAATGAAGGGAAGAATAAACGGTGGGGACTACATCAAATTAAAGAGTTTCTGTACAGCAAGAGCGACATTACACAAAACAGAGGCATCACACTGATTAGGAAAAAAAAAATCTCACACAATACTACTGATAAAGATAAAATGCTGATGATCACAAGGATCTGCAAAGAGCTGATAAAACTCAACAAAAATAAAGTGAACAGCCCTATCAAAACATGGACAGAATAGCTAGGGAAAAAAAAAAAAAAAAAAACTTCTCCAAAAAGGAAATGCAAATGACCAACAGGCATATGAAAAAAAGTTCAACATCACTTATAATAAGGGAAATGCAAATCAAATCCACAATGAGATACCACTTCACACAGGTGAGAATGGTGCATATTAAAACAACTAGCAACAACAAACGTTGGTGAAGATGTGGAGAAAAAAGATCTCTCCTACACTGTTGGTGGGAATGCAACTGGTACAACCACTATGGAGTGCTGTTTGGAGGGGAAATTCACCAATAGATCGTTTGCATTACCTCCAAGTAAGTAAAGATAAAAACCTGTCTTTCTTATTCATTTTTCTTTTTTGACTCTGACTATTGGCAGCTTGATAAGATACAGCAGAAATAATTTCCTCACACAGTGCCTGGAATGTAGGAGGCAGTTCAACAAATATTTAATGAACAGAAGATATTGGGAAAGGAACAATATGAAATTGTAATGATGACCTAGGTGCCTTGCCACATTCCCTGCAGCACATCCTGTCTAGACAGCTTATGAGAGTTCAGCACTTTACAAAGTTTTATGGAAATTCTTACTGCTGGTCATTCCCTCTATTCCTCCAAGTTTCATGTCTTCCTCACATCAGAGTAGATGACTTGGGAACCCTGGGAGAAACATGCAGGACGGAGGACCTAAATGAGCAAAAGAAGGGAGGGGTGGAGGGGTACAAACTGGGATCGAGCTCACCTGATCTTCCAGAAATGCCCTCCTGCTGTTAGCTGTGGAGAAGAAAAATGACTGAGCTCCTGGGTTCCTACTGAGATCTCACTCCCGTATTTTATGTCCCTTTCCCAGGCACTGAACTGTTGTGCTTACTGTGGGAATTTCCCTCTTCTGTAACCCATCCCTTAATATCACTGTAAAGTCCCTCAACATCTCCATCCCTTCTAAACCCTTCACCCACACTTACTTAACAAGCCCCTACCTCTCTCTGATACAGCTACTATGGATTATTGTCTCTAAAATCTTTTCCTTTTGAGTTCTCTGGTCGTTACAGCATCTGGCAAGTCTCTTCCTGTCATTCCTCTATGCTCTTTACATAATCAACTACAGGTAGTTCACCTCAGTATTGAGAAGGAAGTAGAGACTCAGGAAAGAGAGGTGCAATCCTAAGTCACACAGTAACTCGTGTTACTGCAGGAACTTCTCAGGATGTCTGCTTCTTTCTCCTTCTTTTCAGGTAAGCATAATAGAATTGAATTTCCCTCCTTCCACTAACTGCGCATCAACACCTAAAGGGCTTAGAGGATGAACATCCAGTAGAGATAACTGTACCTTTTTTTTATGTTGTTTGGTCACAGATAGAGAAAGAAAATAACAAGGAAATCAATCTCCTACATGAAGCTGCAATGGCACAGGTCTGAGCAGTGCTGGCAGATAGCCCAGTTTCAGGGGCTCAGAAGAAAGAAGCTGGGCAGCTACCTCCCAGTCAGGTAGCTGAGCTGCCAGCAGCCACTGTCTCTTGCAGCAGCAGCCAGGAGCACAGACCAATGAGCAGGCTCTAAGTTTTCAGCTTTAGTAGTTCTGGGGGAGCAGCTTGGAGAACATGACTATGTACTGTTAAAGAACTAACATCTGAATCATTGCAAAGTCGCTTGTTGAAGTGAAAATTCTCTATGTTAAATTGATTTTTCCATCCTGTTCCAAGAATACAGGTCATGTCACCGAGGCACAGCGATGACCCTGGACGTGGGTACCACGACTAGATAGTCTCACTCTTGTCTGATCTTACCCCTTTAATTGTACCCCAGAGTCTTGCTTACTCTCTATTCCCAATTGAGTGAAGACTCAGTGGACTATCTGCCTTTGTTTTTATGTTTTAATTGTGCTTCTCCACAATTAAAAAGATATATCTTGCTCCCTCTTATATCTACACATTTCATATCAAAAGTAAGTGATGTATTGAAACTTCTTTTGCACACATAGTATTATTATCCTGGGAAGATGCAACTGACAGGAATCCCTTAGCAGTTTCTCACCT